AGTGTGCGAATGTACGTGTGTTTGTATGTGTCTGTCTGTGTGTATGTATGTGTGTGTGTATAACGTTATTCTTCATTCTTCATTTCCCTGTTGTAATTCACGGCGCTCATCGCCGCTGGTTCGCGTTACCAAGTGCCTCCTCCTCCCGCCTTGTATTTAACCTTAAACACAGGACTCTCTCGCGTCGTTATCGAGCGCGTTCCACGCGATAGACCGATAAAACCTCCCCCCGGGTGAGTCGCGGACGTGGGGCGCGGAGGAGCCGCACAAGCGAAGAGTTACCCTACATTTTCCCCTGCGGTCGCGCGAAGAAGATCGAAACACGGGGACTCTCTTTCGCTTTTCTCCTCCCCGTGGCTGTATAAAATTGAGAGGTGCGTTATTTTTATACGAGGGAAACGTATCTCGCGCGGATAAACCGTGAATAAATGGCTCTTCATCGCCGCCGCGGTATCTAATACCGATGAAAAATAAGGGGGACGAGAAGGAGGAGGGAAGAGGACTGGTAAACTACTTCGAAAATTAAGCGTCGTAACGCGTACCGAAAGATAACCGCAACTCGCTGCAACGTGACAAATACATTACGTTCGCGGCGGCGGCGGCGGAGGGTAGAGGAACAGGAGGAGCGGGTGCGTGTTGTGCGCGCGTGTATACGTGTGGCAGAGGCCAGATACCCACGCACAATACCCGCGGACGGTGAAACTGGTGGAAGCGGATCCCGACCCGCGCGCGCGAATGCAAACTGTGGCAATTATTCGAACCGCAGCTGCGCGCGGAAACTTTCCCGTAACAGATCGCGCAACGATTAATAATCTATATTAATTACTGCAAAATGCAGATATGCAATTCGAAGACGATAAAATCTTCCCCCTCTCCGTCCCTCGCCTTCCCCGTGATCGCGCGCGCCCGCGTCTTCGAGAAACCGCTAATTAGTCTCCGCGAGAATTACATCGCCACTCGACGCGCGCGCGCCCGCACAGGGGTGAAAGCGGGGAGACGATAATAATTTCCGCGCGCGGCTTCCGCGAGAATAGCTTGGAAAAATCAGCGCGGCTACAAGCTTCGCCGCGGCGGATTCCTTTTCTTTGAGGATTAAGGATCGCGAGAGGTTGGAAATTCCTCGAATTCAATTCGGGACAAAGAGGGGATCGAAGTTATTCGATCGGTCGAAATCTTGCTCTCCCGCGCTTGGCAATCTTCGATCCTTAATGCGTAATCTGACGATGGGAGGAAGGCTTAAATGATTTGGGGAAATATTATTCGCTTCCATTCGTCAACCGCAGAGAATTCCCGATCGACATAGGTTACGATGCCGGATTCCGCAACGAGGAACGGAAAATTCCGAGAAGCTATTCAGGCACTCACCGAGGAAAAGCAGGGATCGCGAAACACCTTCTTATCCGACATGCCTTTTCCTTACCCAACTTATCCGATCCGACGGAATTTCGCGACGCGTTGTATCGTCAAAATTATCTCGAAGGACGACGATCCGGTGGGATATCGATCACGGAAATACCATTCGATTACAATCGCTGATTAATTGACACGCTAAAACAATCGCCCGTTAATTTATTTGACACTCCCGGTTATCCGCGAGCGATGGGCATCAATCCGACGGATCGTTATCGATCCTGATTGCGTTTCGTCAATTTTCTATTCGTCAATCGCAGAGAGTTCCTATAGTTGAGATATTCTGTCCCTGCAGCTGATTCCACGACGTGGAAAAAATTCCAAGGAGCTAATCTTTATTAAACGTGAAGAAGCAGCGATCGCGAATCTTTTCCGACGTGACGATCCGACGGCATTCCACGACTTTACTTAACGTAGCCGCGTTGTATCGACAAAATTATCCCGGATTCGACGGGATATCGATTACAGAGACACCGTCCGATTACAATAACTGATCAATTAACACGCCCGTTATAGATTTATTCGACGCTTCCGGTTTTCCGCGAGCGACAGGTCGCACTGCTTCCTGGACGAGCGTCGGTTCGACGGATTATCGTCGATACCGATCGCGATTCGTTTTTCGTCAACCGCAGAGTTTCTAATCAATGTTGTCGATACCTGTCGCTGCGACAAGAAACGAAAAAATTCCGAATTCCGAGAAGCTATCCAAACAGACACTCACCGTGCGCCGCGGAAAATCGACGTTTTCTCGTTAAGTATATCTTTTCACGCTCGACGTTCATTTTTAACGTCAAAATAGATTTGCGTGATCTAAAGTGATGCTTGATGTATTCATCAATTTTAATCATATAATCTGTTCCGATGCTAAAAATGAGCGTCGAGCGTCAAAATGAAGTATCTTTATCCCCTGGCACCCTTCTCGAATATGGCGGCATCGGCGGGCGGTGATCCCACGCTTTCTCCGACGCAGCCGCGACGCGACGCGTTCGTATCGGCGAGATTATTCAGGGGGACACGGCGGGATCTCGATCACGCAGATCACGGTAGCGCCATTCGATCACAATCACTGATTAATTGACACACCAAAACGATCGCCCGCGTTAGATTTATTCGACACTCCCCGGTTTATCCATTGAGCGCGACGCAAGCTCCGCTTCCCGACGGGCGTCCCCGCGCGATCCGACGGGATTGTCGTTGATGCTGATCGCGCGAATCGAGACGCCACTTTCGGCGCACCGCAACGATACCCGCCCGTGGATTTACTCTCGGCACTCTCCCGATTGATTGATTCGCGGATGGATTGCGATCGATATCGCTCGCGACGTTGCGAAGCGCGCCTCGATGTTGTTACGCCACCGCTCCGGCTATAGACATAGGACACGTAACTAGTGTAGACTTACGCGCGTCCCTCACCTTAATCACGCGCGGGCCGTGCGTATGCAGATGTTAGAGACAGAGTGCATTGTTTTTGGAACTTTATTTAATTCGACGTTGCGCGGAGGCTGTCACGATCCGAATTTACAGTGTCTTTTTTTTTGCTGTTGCATTAAAGAGGAAGTTTCAATTTATGAAATAATAAAGCCTATCAAAGTTCCTTTTTCTTTGTAAGCTTTCTTTGCGTGCGGTACTTAATTGGGGCACACAGTCCCCGTTACGTTAATGAGATAACAATCGTTCGTGAAATCTATAATTTTAAAATGTCTCTCAACTGGCTTCAAAGTAATATTTTCTAGATATATTCTTCTGTTATATTAGAAATAATACATCATATTTTATGATGTTCATCGTTTTATATTATATGATATAATATTGAATATTTTTTCTTTAATAGATATCTATGATCTTATCATGCAGGCAGATACACATGCATGTTTTTTATATCTATAATGAAATGTGTTTAAGATTACGGTTTTTTTCGGAGAGATTCTTTAGAAATAAGAATAAAATATTACATCGTGTCATAAATGATGTAAATATATATAGTATATATGTATATCTATGGGTGCACAAATATCTTGAAAATTATTAATATTTGATAATAATGAATCATAAAATGAATGTTACATATTATGAACTAATTATGATAAATCGTTAAATGAACATTATATTATAAATGAATGGTATAAAATTTTCAACGAATAAGAGATATAGAAATCGAGATATCAAATTGCCATTATTAAAATCATATATAGGTATTAAATTATCGATGTATCGATTTATGTGGATATCAAGCAATTTTTAGAGTTCCTCTTTCTTTATATATCTATTACTGAAATTATATGCACGTGAAAGATCGATCTCGCAATCAAATAAAACATCTTAAAAATATCTTAAATGTCTTAAAGACATTTAAAGTCATAAATTGAAACGTAAGATATTTTAAAGACATTAGAGACAGACATCTTTTTCGGTTTTAAAATTTTTAAATGTCTCAAATAGCCTCAAGATATATTCTTCTGTATATTAAAAATAATACATTATATTTATAATGTTCATCATTTTATATAACATGATATAAATTATTGGCTATATTATTTCTTTAATAGATCTCTATGATCTTATTATGCAGATACACGCATGAGCGTCTTTTTTTTAAATTTTGGCGAGAAAATAAATAAATTGAGAAAATAATGTCGTCGATGTTCAAATTTTTTTGAAACTATCGTCGAGAATACTTGAATTGTGAAAAGTCGCGTCTCATATCAGCGCTGTGGCCACTCTCGTACTTATTCATCTCAGTGAATAATTAATTTGCAAGGCACGAAAAACGTCGAAAACTGCGATACGAAATTCGCTACCTGATCGCTTAGCTTTTCGGGCTTTCACATGACGCGGAGAAATTCCTGGTCGACCCTCGTCTTTCATGTGTGAATTTCGAACGTAATCTTGAAAATTATTTATCGTTGCCTGGAATTTCTCAACTCGTTTTCTTGACAGTTTCATATGTTCGCAAAGTTACCCAGTAGTGCGTTACCATATTGCCGTAAATTACAAAGCAGTCGGCGCGCGTCGAAAAATTCAGACATATTAGTATCCATTCATCGTCAATTTTAGGATCACTTTCTTTCTATTGCCCTTACGTAATATAGCGCTGCACCACGGGATTGCGTTCGCGTAAAGGCGTAGGATACGCGCGGCGTTATCTCAAGAATTGCGCATTTGCAATTTGAATACCTCCCGCAGTTCTCTCTTCTTCACATCGTAGAATTCTCTAACCAACATCATCTCCCGAAACATTTTCTTAATGCAGTTTATAGGAGAGTTTCGCGTAACTTTACGAGGCAGGTTATAGACGTATATTATCATATTGAGCCTTTCAAAATCGCGCACGAAGATATTTTCTCCCGCAAATTATATGAAAAAAAAAAAAAAAAAAAAAAGAAAGAGAGCTATGGGGATGAGTATCGACTAGGATATTAGATCGTCTAACTCGTACAGAATTTTTCGCAGCGATTTTGAAGTTCATCGCATTTCTCTTTTTTCTTTTTTGCCGCGAGCGTTCGCGCAGCGACATAGCGTCGCGCGTGACTGCACGTAGCGAACGGGTTGAGTTGTCAAAAATGTCATAACGCGGCCTCTGTTATTTTCAGCATCGACGAGGACGGCCCGTGGAACGCGACCAAGGAGATCATAACGCCGCACAACGACACGTTCTACACGGTCGAGAACCTGAGGCCGTTCACGGTGTACAGCTTTCGGGTGGCGGCAATAAATGCTTTAGGACGCAGCAAGCCCAGCCAGGCGTCCTACTACATGGTGACCCTCCGCGAAAGTAAGTCTCGCGATTTTGATTTTTCTCTCCTTCTCTCCGCGCGGATCTCTTTACTTCGCTTCTGCGTTCAAAGCAATCGAAGCGTTTTTATCGGGACAGTAACGGGATATTCGGTGAATCATTATCCTTTCTCAAAACAAACGAGAGCAGGGGATATAAATTACGGTTTTAAAGAGGCGCAGAGAATTGTGCCTCTATATGAATACAATGTATAACACATTGTAAAATTTAACATAAATAATTACGTTAGAGAATTTATTAAAATTTGATATCCTGATAGAATATGTGTATTTACATATCTGCAGGTTTCGTTAAAACGATAACATATTATGGATATCCACACATACAATTAATTATTATAAATACTTGTGTGACTTATTACATATGTATAATATAAAAATATTAATTTATTGACATATTAATGATGTATTACTGTATGCTATAAACAATGTACGCTTGTGGGAATTACAGCGGTGGTGATGACACTGATTTCACGGTAAATCGAAAACAGACCGTTCTGATTAAGTTATGCGCTTCAGATTTTCATATTACCTATTATCAATTTATTGGAAAAATTTATAGAAAAAGCTATCAATTAGCGCTATATAGAATTTTCCTCTAAATAAAACTGTCGCCATATGTGAAGCAATTTTTATCTTTGCTTCTCTTTATCTCCTTTCTCTCTCTCTCTCTCTCTCTCTCTCTCTCTCTCTCTCCCTCCTAGAAACATCGTAATAGTAAAGTTTTCCGGCGAGGGCCAATATCGGCTTTAGGATATCCTCTCGTCGCGTACATCTGCGCTTCAAGCCGATTCAATCGTCCAAATTACATCTCCCGCAGGCTATCAAAACGAAGTTTGTCGACCACGATGACGCTGAGTGGCGTCATGCTAAATTAAATGGTTGACACCCTCAGGTCGTTAGCGCGCCCGAGGGAGGGCACAAAGCGTTTTCACGACGAAAGCGGAAGAAAGTGACGAAACTCTGGCCGAAAAGAGGAAAGTCCGAGAGAAAGAGAACAGCGGGGTGGGGAAGGGGGAGCAGGAGGGAGGATTGAGAGCGCGGCACGACCAGTTCTTGGCATCCGGAGAGGCGAGAAGAACCGTCCAGAGGACGGCTAACTAAAGAGGCGCTAATTGCAGCCGGCAGCCGGGAGCGCTGCAAGCAGGCTCGAGTCAAGCCTATTCTTTTCCTTTTGTTTCCTAATTCCTGTCTCTTTTTTTCTTTCGCTCTCGTTCTCGCTTTCTCTCTTTTTTTTCGCTCTCCTTCTCTGCATCCCCCTGATCCTTTCTTTCGTCGTCGTCGTCGTTCTCAACGTCATTCTTCCGCTACGACGTTATGAAATAGGTTGAGCGGGTTGAGACTTGCACGAGGCCAAGAGCAAGCCAACCCTATAAATTCCGTCGTGCGCGGCCGCGCGCAGGAGGATGGCCAGCAACGTGCTGCAGCCATATATACGCGCCACGGACGACAAAGTTTGCGAGTGCGAGGACCATCTCTCCGTTCCACGCTCTCTCAACCCTTTTCGACCTGGATTCCCGCGCGTCGCTGATCGCAGAGGCCCCAATTACCGGGGTAACTCTCGCACGCGCGCTTACACGCGAAGGGCCAACTCGCGGTCCAACGGGAATTAGGTGGCTCGTGGAATGTAACCATCCTAGATGGAATTCCCGGTTCCATTTTTAACGGATGAACGAGTAAATGCGTGAGCACTGAATTCACGTCTGTTACAGCTCGCTGGGTTTTTTCCTCGTTCTCATGTGCTCTTCAGTGCGCTTTGCGCTTATCATCCGTAAAGTACTTACGGAAATATTACCAGGATCAATCGGAATAATTGACGCTTTTAAAGATCTTACAATAATTACACGTGTTACCCAAGGGAATATAATTTTTAATAAATGTCCTGCATAAAATTTGATTAATATTTAGCTGTCGCTTGATGAAATGATGGTAATATTTCTGATTATCACGCAACATATATTGTACTATAGTAATATTGCACTACATGTTTAAAAACTATTTATGTAATTTATTTATATTTGCACAAATTTGTACAAATTATTATAATTAATTGCATTTAATAATATAATTAATAGATTATTTGGAGATTGGAAAGAGAAAATTTGACATTCTTTATACAGTCATACTTGCACACACACACACATGCCTTTCTTAATTATTTACACATTAATTTATATTATCGCGGAGAGGGCGGTAACATATTACATTATATTATTAACCACGTAATATGATATTAATAACATGCTAATTAAGTTTTAAATTGAATGTATCGATTGCCGAATATTTTGGATATCGTCCGCCGGTTTGCTATTGCAACAAGTTTCAGTGTCACATTTCTCCCCGCGCGTCACAACTACCTAAATTGACATTTATATGTCGTTAAATTTAATCGTAACAAGGATATTTTCGTCCGTGAACTATTGCTTTCACTCTAGCTATGCATTCGTTTCGGTGGATCAACGATATTTATTTAATACTCGTGTCCGCCGATCCGCGCCGACCTCGTTTTCGAGATGTTTCATTAAAAAATTAGAACGCAATACTATAGTTACCGCCAGGTTTATTTCGCGGGCGGACGTTGCGTGGAAAATCGATGCTTATTAGATACGCAGCCTGCACGTAGCCTATACGACCGGCGCGATGGGGGCTCATCGTTCCGTCGCGTGAGATGGGAATAATTATTCGGCTATCGAGACGCATCCGTATTGCCGAGCCGGATTTCGCCAATGCGGAAGTGCGCCCATGTGCGTGTATACGCACACATCCATGTCAATAATTAATTTAAACACCACCGCCCAGAGTCATCACCGGGCCCGATGCGCGACGCGTCGCGTCGGGAGAAAAATTCGGCACTGGAGCGATATTATATCGGCGTGTGTCGGCGAATCGCCCAGGAATCCTGTACGCGCGATTACATTCGCGTATCATCGACGTCGGTATTTTTGTAATTTCCCCGCTGCAATATTGCACGCGATCCGATCAGCTGTGCTCGAATTAACGTTTTGAGATAACGCTCGCGATAAAATCGAGGTAATTCTCTCTCTCTCTCCCTCGCTCTCTTTTTGCTTTGCTACGTGACTGCGACATACGGCCATTTTCCCACGACGGTTTAGATTCGATCGCGCTTCGATCGAGCCGGTCCTTCCGTATCGCCGGTTGACGAATATCATATCCGGGAAATATAATATTGTTGAACTCGCGCAGTTTGTTTTTGCGCGATGTTAAGTAACGCGATACAGTGCGCGGGAATTTTTATGTATTAAAATAAAAAAAAACCGGAAAAAAAACTTTCTCGTGAGATGCAGCGTGATCGAAAAACGATACGTTCATCGCGGGCGAAGCGCACCGCCGCCGCACGCCGGTTCGCTTCGCGGCGGCGAGAATGAAATGCGGTCGCGATATATTCGCGTTGTCGGCGCAACGCGGAGTATCGTATGCACTCGAAATCGACGGTGTACGGCGCGGCCGCAGCCATATAGAAGTAACAGAATAAGTATTTCCGCGAACGTACCTATATTTCTGCGAGCACAGCACGCGCTCCGCGCCACACGAGACATTTCGTACGACACTTACGACGTTTCTTCGCGCAAGAGAGACAAATAAGACGGAGGGAAAGGAGCAAAATAAAACACTTTTTTCGCGCTCAAAATTCTTTGTGATACACATTCTATCGTTTCTCCATCCTGCAGCCTGCGGCAACACTTTCGCGCGCTCATCACTCTCTCTCTCTCTCTCTCTCTCTCTC